GTGTGTGTGTGTGTGTGTGTGTGTGTGTGTGTGTGTGTGTGTGTGTGCTGGGGGCATCGAATTGAAGAGCTTTGTGGATAGAGTTGAAGGAGATTATGAAGGCAAATTATAGATATACAAGGGTACTTGACTGTGATTGGGGATGGGGTAAGTGCATAGGAGAAGAACCTTTGTTAGAGCTCAAGTAGGATGGAAGTCTCTTTGGTAAGGATGAGGAAAAGTTTGAATGAGGAATAATTGCACAGGGAATCACTCTTTCCACCCCCTTCCTTTTGCTTCTCCTCTTTCCCTCCCCTTCTTTTTTTTTCTTCCACCCCCAAGTCCTACTCACCCTCTAAATCTGAATTTTGTCCATCCTGAGCACTGAGCTGGACTGCTCACCTCTTCTCTAGGATTTCGATACTTTGTTTCTCTGATCAACCTCCTCCTTTCCCCTTCCCCTCTCCTCCTTCCTAGGATGACTACATCAAGAGCTGGGAGGACAGTCAGCAAGGAGATGAAGGTAAATAGTTGCAAGGGGGTGAGGAGAAGGGTATGTGATACCAGTTGGAGTCCAGGATAAACTGGAGAGTCCCAGGCTCTGACCTGAGGGATCCTCAGGGATCTCAGCCCTGAAAAGGGAGATGACGGGAGTTACTAGCTTCTAGAGAGCTTGGTGCCAGAGGGAGAAGATGGTCAAGCAAAGGGCTTTGGAAGTCCAAATTCCCTGGGTTCTTTCTTGTGGACCCCTGAGATAATTTCTTTCCCAATCTTGTGTCTTCTTAGCGCTGGACACCACCAAGGACCCCTGCCAGAAGGTGAAATGCAGCCGACATAAGGTGTGCATCGCTCAGGGCTACCAGAGAGCCATGTGTATCAGCCGGAAGAAGCTGGAGCACAGGTAGGAAGGATGAGTTTCAGATCAGTTGGACCCTTGGGGCATTTCCCCCAGAATTCGAGGAAGCTATTCAGAGTCTTCTGGGTAGGGGGTCAGTGAGGGAGAAGACAGGTTGAGGGAGCTGCCTTGGGAGGTTCCTTGTCCTCCCTGGAGGTCTTTACACAAAGGTTGGCTCTGTTGTAAAGGAATCTTATTTTGGATGTGGGTTAGCTTAATTGGCTGCTGGGGATGGGGGTAAGTGAATAGGAGAAGAACATTTGTTAGAGCTCAAGTAGGATGGAAGTCTCTTTGGTAAATTCTGAAATTCTGTGATCTTAGGAGAGAAGAAAGAGGAAGAATGTATGTGATTAAACAAAACCTCAAATGGTTCTTCAGACATCCTGCTCTCTGCTTCCTTTTTGGATCTCTTCTTGTTTCCCTTTATCATCTCTCCTTTCACTCAACACTTCTTTTCTCCTTCCTTTCACTTTGCTTTTCCTACCTCCATTTTGTTATTCTATCAGTTACCAGCAAGGCAGCTAGGTGGTGCCAGAGTGCACAGAGTGACCAGCCTGGAGTCGGGAAGACTCATTTTCCTGAGTTCAAATGTGACCTCAGACACTCACTAGCTGTGTGACCCTGGACAAATCACTTCACGCTGTTTGTCTCAGTTTCCTCATTTGTAAAATGAGCTGGAGAAGGAAATGGCCAACCACTGAAGCATCTATGCCAAGAAAACCCCAAATGGGGTCATGAAGAGTCAGATACCACTGAAAACAATTACCAACAAATTACTTTTTCTCCCCTCCTCCTTCCTGTCTTCCTTTCTCTTTTGGTCTTGCTTTATTTCCTTCCTTCTTCTCCAGATTTCTCTAATTCTTGTTCCCCTCCCTTTCTTTTTATCCGGTAGGATCAAGCAGCCAGCCCTGAAGCTCCATGAAAACAAAGAAGGCTTTTGTAAACCATGTCACATGACCCAGCTGGCCTCTGTCTGTGGCTCTGATGGACACACTTACAACTCGGTGGTAGGCCCTTCTTCCTAGAATGGTGGTGGTGGGGTAGTTAAGCTAGGAGAAGCAGAGATGCTACATTCTATGTTTCTGATGCTGAGCTTCGGGGACCACTTGGGCAGCTGAGATTCCCAACGATGCTTTCATTGACCATCCACCCATCCCTTCTCTGGGACACTGTGCCTCTTAGATATGGACAGTCACTTGGGTTGGTCATAACAGAGTCTGAACTCAGGTCTCCCTACCTTCGGCCTGGCATTAGAACTCACAACCTCTCCACCTATAGGCATGACGTCAGCCAGACCTTTGACTAATGGAAGTTTACACTTCTAAGACTGGCATTCAAGGCCCTCCACAATCTGGCATCGATTTTCCAGCCTTAGCTCTGTTGCTTGCTTTATGCTCTAGGAAATTGAATGAATGCTCTACTCTCACGTTTGTGCTTTTGCCTACACTTTTCCCTATATATGGAATGCCCCGTCCAATTCATCCCATCCTCTAAAGTCCAGGTCCAATGGTGCTTCCTTTAGGAAGCCTTCCTTGATCTCCCAGTCAGATTCCTCTCAGTACCACATAGCCCTTTGCTTTTACCTTATTTTGTAGTAGATTTACTTGTCTAATTTCCATACTCCACATCAGACTTTAAACTACATGATTGAAGGAACTGTGTTTTTCCTTGTCGAAGCTGGGAAGCTAATTAGGATGCTGTTGAAGTGGTCCAGGCAAGAGGTGATGGGGGCCTGAACTAGGGGAATGACTGTGTGAGTGGAGAGGAGATAGATTTGAGAGATGCCTTAGAGGTAAAATTGACAAGTCTGGACAACTGATCACATATGGATGATTGAGGGAGGAGAAAGAACCAAGGATGACAGGTATTGGAAATATCATGGTTGCACTCAACAGAAGTAGAGTTGATAAGACTAAGCTCATAAAGAAGGGGAGAAGGCTGTCTTGTGAATATGAGACAGCGTTATCTCCTTTTTTCCTTTTTCTCCTTTGTCTCCTGTATTTTCATTCACACCATTCCCCCTAACAGTGGGTGTACCCCAGGGCTCTGTCTTGAGTTCTTTCATCTGGTGACCTCATAAGCTACTATGAGCTTACTTATCCTCCCTAAGAATGACTCCCACTCCCCTGAGTGTCCTTTTTACATCACTAGCTGCCACTTGGACATTTCAAGCTGGATCTCCTGTTACTATTTAAAATTCAACACACCCAAACTGAGCTCAGTTTTCAAATCCTATCATTTCTACCTCCACAGCACCTTTCAATCCATACAGCCACTAACCTAGTTCAAGCCCTTATCACCTCTTCCTCTGTACTACATTTCTATTTTTTAACAAGTTCAAAATAGTTTTGATGATTACTGATATTGTTTGAGGTATAGAAATACTATTTCCTCCTCTGTTCTTACTTTTCTGGGATTTCCCTTGATATTCTAGATCTTTTGTTTCTTCCAAATCAGCTTTGTTATTTTGTCTACCTCTCTAAAATATTCTCTTATTAGTATAATTGGTATGGCCCTAAAATCTAGGTAGTATTGTTGCTTTTATTATATTGCAATGGCTCAACCTTGAACACTGAATATCTTCCCAATTATTTAAGCTATACTTTATTTTTAAAAGAGCATTTTGTAATCACATTTCTATAGATACTGAATATGCTTTGTTAGACTGCCAGATCTTTTATGAATTTTGTAGTTATTTTGAATAGAACTTCCCTTTCTACTATTGCCTTCTGTGTTCTGTTATTGTTAAATAGAAATGACAATGATTTTTTGGGGGTGGGTTTATTATTTTTTTAATGCTGCTACTTTGCTGAAGCTGTTGGCCATTTCAATTAGTTTCTTTACTGATTCTCCAGAGTTTTCTAAGTAAACCATCACGTCACCAGCAAATAGGGTACAATAGCTTCTCACTGGTTTCCTTGCTTCACGTCTCTCCCCTTTTTAACCTCTCCTCTATCCAGAAGCCAGAATTTTCCTTAAGTACAAGTCTGATCATATTATTTTCCTCCTCAGTAAACTCCAATGGTTCTCTATTACCTCTAAGATCTAATATGAAGCCCTCTGTTTGGCATCTACAGCACTTCACAGCAGTGGTGCCAATCTACCTTTTCAGTTTTATTATATGTTACTCCCCTCTGTGCATTTATCATCTGTCCAGAATGGCTTTTTTTTTTTACTGTTAATTATGCATCATACACTCAATCTCTCATCTTTGTGCCTTTATCTTGGCCCTCCCCCACAGCTAGGGGGTGTTCCTGCTCACCCCTACCTCTTAGAATCCCCGGTTTTCTTTGAGACTCAGCTCAATGCTACCTTCTGCCTTTTCTGGTCCCTTTCCCCAAGGTGCTGATATGTTCTCCTTTCTAAATCACCTTGCCTCTGTGTGTGAATGTGTACATGTATACATACATATATGTATATAGAGATAGAAATTGGTATAAACATGCAAGTATACATAGAGGTATATATATATATCATGTATGTGTAGATGTGTGCTACACACATACACATACATGTACATACATTCGGGCATACACATGTATATAGTGGTAGAAATTTGTGTAAACATGCAAGTATACATGGAGGTGTATATATGTATATATAATATATGTGTAGATGTGTGCTACATATATACATACACATACATGTACATATATTTGGGAACACACATATACATACACACATATGTATAGGTATGTATGTGTTCTCAGGACAGGAGAAAAAAGTAGACAGGTTGGTTTGTGACTAGCAAACCCTGTTAGAGTTTGGTACTAATGAACCCCAATTCACACTGGATACCTATGGAGTTAGTTTTGTTTTATTGCCTAGCCACAGACTTTACACCCTCCCTGCAACCAACCTTTTGGATTTGATGACCCTGCTTAGACAAGTTGGGAGAGTGTGGTTGGCTCAGCATAAACCCATCTCCACTAATGAGAAAGTATTGAGAATGCTCTCTTATTTGGATGGGTGTGGTTGAAGCGGGAGGCTCGGGCAGTACCTCGTCCCAGGATGCTCAGGGTAGGAGGGATGGGATCCCAGGCTCAGCAGTTAGCTGTCTGGTCCTTCCCTCCCCTACAGTGTAAACTGGAACAGCAAGCCTGCCTGACCAGCAAGCAGCTGACAGTGAAGTGTGAGGGTCAGTGCCCTTGCCCCACGGAGCAGGCCCCAGTCTCCACCACAGACACTAAACAAGGTAAGAACAGCCGCAGCACCCTCTTCCTCCCCTCTTCCCCCCCCCCACCGCCAGAGGCCCAGCCTGCTCTCTGACATAGCAATAGCGTCCATCCTCTCCAGAGTTCAGCCTTTTCCCTGAGGTCAGGGACAGCGTGGACTGTGCTCAGGCTTCAGCCTGTTCCCGAGGGAGAGGGCTCAGTCTGATCTGGAGATAGGGGCAGAATCCACTTTCCCCTCTCCCTGTAGTAGAGGAATATTTGAGACTTGGTTAGGGTGGGAAGGATCCATGACCAGAAGAACAAAGGGAGGGGGAGAAGTTGAAGGAAGCAGAAAGGTGGAAGACCAATGAAACCAAGGAAAAGGAAAGTGAGGAGGGAGCTGTAACCGGCACTAGGCAACAGGGGCCTTGTTTCCGGGTGCTGAGCATAGAAGCCCAGCTCCTACTTGCCCTTAGGCCACTTCCCCAAGCTCACGTTTCTCATGCCCTTCACTATGGCCCGCCTTCCTGATGCCGGCTAGACTACTCCCCAGGGGGTCTGATGGTCTGGGCATCTCCTTTCAAAGGGCTAAGACCCCGCAAGGGCCCCAGTGCCACTCCGGCCTTGGGGTTTCCTGGGTCCTTTGTCTACTCCCTCACCAACTGATCTGCCCTATGGTTAACATTCTCAGTTATGGCGCTGGATGAAGGACTTGGGAAGCCTGAGGAGCCCCAGGCTCAGGTGGGCTGGTGTTAACACAAAATTAGAACTTACCTTCAGGCCCTGTGCAGTTTTTTTTCCTGGGTGTCCTGAAAGGAGTAGCTGATGAGCACAATGGTGGAGGGCTTGGAGGCTAAAATCCTGAATTTAATTAAATTCTGAATTTTTTTTTTAATATCAGGAAGGAGAGACAATTTTGGGGGGGGGGGCTACAGGACTGGTGATGGATGGAGCTTGAGGGAAGAGGCAGGGTTGTGGCTAAGAGAGCAGGCTGGGGAAGGGCGAGTGGCGACCAAGGGGAGAGACTCGGCGGGGCCCCTTTCCTGGCCGTGCTCCTTGTTAGCGCTCCCTTTGACTGTATTTATTTTGGGTTTGGGGGCGGGAGTCCACGCTGGGAGATGACTGTCCGCCCACACTCCCTCCCTATTCCCCCCCCCCCCCGCCCTGCTTCCACTCACGTGTTGTGTTGGCCGCAGACACCTGCACGGGGCAAGACCTGGCGGATCTGGGGGACCGGCTGCGGGACTGGTTTCAGCTCCTTCATGAGAACTCCAAACAGAACGGCACCGCCAGCGCTGGAGCCAGCCCCGCCGGCGGTACTGCACGGGCCGGGACTAGACGAGATGGGGACGGCAGGATTCGGGGAGGAAGCCCTGGGAGCGTCGAGCAGGGCCGGGCGGGCGGGAGGGGTCGCCTCCGCGTTCTCCTGCAGCCTTGGGGCGCTCCGCTGCCATGTCGAGCCCCCGGGGAAGAGCCCAAATCCAGGAATGAGACAAGGAGCTTTTAACTGTGGCTGGAGGGAGGCAGCCTAACCGGGGGGAGAATTGCACAATGAAACAGGTGACCAAGGACAGGACAACATTTACTTTCGGGTTTGCTGAATTTAGTCAGAAAAACCGGGGCTCGACTCCTGCCTCGGATACTGACCCGTTGTACTGCCCTGGACAAGTCACTTAACCCTGTTTGCCTCAGTTTGCTCATCTGTAAAATGATCTGGAGAAGGAAATGGCAAACCACTCTAGTATCTCTGCCAAGAAAACCCCAAATGGGGTCAGAAAGAGTCAGACACGACTGAACAACAACAACATACAAATACCAGATATTATTATTATATTAAACTTCTCTGTCCCTTAGTTTGCTCATCTGTAAAATGGGATAATAGCAGCATTTATCTCCCAGAAGAGCAAATAGGTGAAAAAAGTGCTTTGCAAACCTGAAACATAAGCAGTTGTTTGGATTTCTTTTTTTTGGGGGGGGGCAATTGAGGTTAAGTGACTTGCCCAGGGTCACACAGCTAGTAAGTGTCAAGTGGTTGGTCTGAGGCCGGATTTGAACTCAGGTCCTCCTCACTTCAGGGCCGGTGCTCTATCCACTGTACCACCTAGCTGCCCCAGTTGTTTGGATTTCTTGAGGAACAAGAGGGATACGTGGGTTTTGTATAGTTTAGGAGGAGTGTATTCTGGAGGTGAGTAGATAGATGGATAAAGTAAGCCTCATGGAGCCCACTAGGATTCTCAGATTTTGTGTTTAAGCTGTGCCCAGCAGAGGTAAATGGGAGAGGGTGGGAGGCATTAATAAGCCTGGGGGATCTGGAGGGGGATGTGGAGGGCTTGTGGAGGGGTAAGAGTAGGGATAGGGTCAGCAGGTGGCTTGAGGGGGCCAACCATGGCATCCCATTTCTTTCCAGGGCTGGACAAGAGCCTGGGGGCCAGCTGTAAGGACTCCATTGGTTGGATGTTCTCCAAACTGGACACAAGCAATGACCTGTTCCTGGACCAGTCTGAGCTGGCCGCCATCAACCTGGACAAGTATGAGATCTGCATCCGTCCCTTCTTCAATTCCTGTGACACCTACAAAGACGGCCGCGTCTCCACTGCCGAGTGGTGTTTCTGCTTCTGGAGAGAGAGTACGTGGGCCCTTTGCCTTCAGAGCCCTGTCCCTGGGGAGCCCTGGCCCTAAGAGTGGGGGCTAGGAGAGAGGCCATCAGAAATCAGAGGGTCTTGGAAACTTTGGGGCCAGTCCACTTGGCCTCTTACACAAACCACCTTGCAGATGCTGTAAAAAGAAAACATTTGTCAACCCGGTCAATTTTTAGATGATCTTTCTCCCTTTCAGACATTCAGGAGGGCGAGATAAATGAAACCCGTGCTCCTCCCTACTTATCTGGCATGCATTGCTTGCAAGACAGCTAGGGGGCACAGCAGATAGAGTGCTGGGCCTGGAGTCAGGAAGACCTGAGTTCAAATGTGGCCTCAGACACTTACTAGCTGTGTGACTCTGGACAAGTCACTTAACCCTGTTTGCCTCAGTTTCCTCAGTGGTAAAATGAGGATAGTAACAGCCTTTACCTTTACCTGATCCTTTTGTGAGTGTCAAATGAGAAAATATTTGTTAAAGCACTTAACTTAATGTCTGGCTCCTAGTAAGTGCTATATAAACGTTAGCTATTATTATTATCCCTAGAAGCAAATTACTTATTATTATTATTAATTAGCTTCATCACCAGTCGTAACAGCATCCCACTTTTTATAGGGTGTTCTCCTCCCCCTCCCCATACCTTTGGGGTAGCTTCCATACCTTACAGTGCCAAAACACATAGTAGGTGCTTTACAATTGTTTGTTGATTGATCAATTGATCGTGTTCTATGTCCTCTTCAGAACCCCCCTGCCTGGCTGAACTGGAGAGGATTCAGATCCAGGAGGCAGCTAAAAAGAAACCTGGTGAGTACCTGGTAGGAAGGAGACTTCTCAGAAGGAAATTGTGAGCGCCAGGTGGACAAGAGACTATGGTCACTCAGGCTGAGCTTTGGTCTGGGGTGGCTGGAGGAAGGAAACCTCACCTTTGTTTTTCTTCTGTGGGAGGAAATGTAGCCCCACCCAATTAAAGGAGTATTGAACACATGGCCGGGTGTCTAACCCTGGTTAAGATGCTCTGGGGATAAATAGAAAATGTGTAAGATGTGGTCAATCCCTGCCTTCAATGAGTTTCTAATCTAATTGAGATGACTAATATGCGTAAATTAATTAAATGCTGCTAAGGGCAGTAGGCGGCAGCTGGGTAGTGCCATAGTGTTGGGCCTGAAGTCAGAAAGACCTGAGTTCAAATTTAGCCTCAGGCACTTACTAGTTGTATGACCCTGGGCAAATCACTTCACCCTGTTTGCCTCAGTTTCCTCATCTATAAAAGAAGTTGGAGAAGGAATGCAAACCAATCTATTATCTCTGCCAGGAAAACCCCAAATGGGGTCACGGAGAGTTAGACATGACTGAAATGACTCATCAACAACCAGAAAAGGTACAGTAGGAGGTCAGTGTGGAATGGAGGGGTTGGAGGTGATTTGATGGAAGACCGAGCCAAGCTCTAAAGAATGAGTGGGGTTTGAATAGGGAAAGGGAGCAAGCATTTCTTAAGTGCCCACCATGTGCCAGGAGATAAAAATATTATTTCATTTGATCCTTACAATGATTCTATGAGGTCATGATCCCCATTTTACAATCAAGGAACCTGAGGCAGACAGGTTAAGTGACGTGCCCAGGGTCACACAGCTAGTAAGTATCTGAGGCTGGATTTGAACTCGGGTCTTCCTGACTCCAGGCCTAGCGCTCTGTCCACTGTGCCCCTTAGCTGCCATAGACAGGCAGGAGGGGAACAGGGGAGAGTAGGAAGAATGTTCTAAGCAAGAGGAACAATGGCAAAGGCAGAAGTGGGTCAGAACTAGCAGGGGGTGGTCAGAAGACCGACCTGAATAGGAGCTTCAGATTGGGAAGCGATCAGGTTGAATCAGTTAGTATTCCCGAGGAGTTTAGACTTGGTTAGGTAGGCAGTGAGCCTTTATTGAGGCAGCTGGTGGTGCAGTGCGTAGAGTGTTGGGCCTGGAATCAGGAAGCCCCGAGTTCAAATATGGCCTGAGAATCAATGAGCTGTGTGACCCTGAGTGAGTCATTTAACCTCTGTCTCAGTTTCCTCCTCTGTGAAGTGGGCAAATTGAGGGTGTGATTACACTTTTATAGTACTTTTAGGCTTGTGAAGTGCCCCTCTGCACAATTCTGTGAGGTATGTGGTGGTAGAGAGAAGGCTGGTCTTGGAGTCAGGAAGACCTGTGTTCAAATCCCACCTGATATTGACCAGCTCTGTGAAGCTGGGCAATCATTTCATCTCCTTGAGACTCAGTTTCATCCTCTGCAAAACGAGGATGTTAAGTTGAGAGAAATGATTATTAATAATGAATAATTTGGGGAGATCCAGAGTTCTCTCCTTTTAAAGTGCTGTTTTTAAAAGTTCAGCCTTTGGAAGGACAATGATGATGATGAGATTAGACCCATCCTGGGGCCCACCATTGTCTCCTGTTCAGGCTTGGGTAAGGCCTACTTTCTTTGAATAAAAGATAGCCCAAAGCTGGAGGTAGTCTGGGTTCAGAGATAGTTTCTCTCTCCAAGGGTGACATGATGTCACTCTCAGCCCCTCATTTTAATATGTGACACCTTCCATTAATATATATAACACCTTCCATTGTGTTAACCAGAGCCTGCCACCATGATTGCCATTGGCCTAAGAGAGGGATGCCAAATGACCATCCTTTTATTAATAACTTGCTGGCCTTATTAATACAATGATCGAATTACCCAGAAATTACATCTCTCTAACCTTTTTAATCATCACACAGTGTCGACCTCACATGTCATGAAATGGTAGAACTTATGTAAAGGACTTGGCCCAGCTTAAAATTCTATGTGAATATGAGCTTTGTTCATAGCACAAGTAAGGAGTGGAGAGATTTAGATCACAAAATCATAGCCTATTAGAATGAGAATAAATCACCTACACCATGGGTTTTTAACCTTCTTGGTGCCACCAACCTTGGACCCATGGACCCCTTCTCAGAACAAGGTTCTTAAATGCATACAATATGACACATAGGATTGCAAAAGATGCCAAATGCATTGAATTTGTGATCTTTTTTTTTTTAAGTTAGGCAATCGGAGTTAAGTGACTTGCCCAGGGTCACACAGCTAGTAAGTGTCAAGTATTTGAGGCCAGATTTGAACTCAGGTCCTCCTGACTCTTAGCTTAGTGGTATTTCCACCACACTGCACTTTCCTCACTGTTTTAGGAAGATTAGTCTCATTCCTACTGTCTTCTAAGCCTTAAGGAACGTTGGCTGTCCAGATGGGCTGTGCTGAGCGCTGGCAGAAACCCCAGTGACTTCCTTAACCCTAAGGTGAAATAGGAATTTCATTTGAGTGTGAAGCAAACCTTTTACAACCTGGCCCCAAGGTTCACCGCATTACACTCCTTCCTGCACTCTGCAGGCCAGACAAACTGGCTTCCTTACTATCCTCACATGTAATGCGCCATCTCCCATCTCTGCACCAGCTGCCGCCAGGGTTTGGAATGTCCTCCTTCTCCTTCATAGGGTCCCTTAGTGGCTTTCAACCCTTGACTCAGCCTCTACTTTCCACATGAAGTCTTTCTTTCTCCCCACAACTGCTAGTGACCACCCTTCCCAAAACTACCTTGGTTTAATTTATATCTTTTCATAGTGTGTTTGTGTGTGACCTGTGGTTGATCCTCATAGAAATAAGCTCCTTGAAGGTAGGAGCTCTTCCATTTCTGTCTCTGTAGCCTCACTGCTTAGCACAGTCCCGGCTACAGTGAGCCCTCAATAAATGCTTGTTGGTTGGTTGGTTTATATGATAGAGGTCTCTGTGGTTCCTATTACATCTGCACCCCCACCTCTGGGGCTGCCTAACCCTCCTGCTCCTCTTCAAAGGCCCTGTTGACCACTCCAATCCTTCTGTGGTCTCCTCCTTCCTAGGCATCTTCATCCCCAGCTGTGATGAGGATGGCTACTACAGAAAGATGCAATGTGATCAGAGCAGTGGCGACTGCTGGTGTGTGGACCAGATGGGCCAAGAACTGACGGGAACCCGGCTACATGGGAGCCCAGACTGTGGTAAGCTGGGAGAGGGGAGGTCTGGAGACCCACTGGGAGGTGCCTGCTGGTCCCTGAATGAGGAGTCTCTGGCAGGGAAGGTGGGGCCCTTCCCTTCACACTAGCTAAGACCCGAGGCTCCTCCACTCTTTGGAACGAGACTCTCTAGGCCTCCCTTCTGAGGTGGGGATCCCTACTTCTAACCCATTCCCTGTGCTGTCACCCCACAGATGACATCGTTGGGTTCTCCGGGGACTTTGGGAGTGGCGTTGGCTGGGAGGACGAGGAGGAGAAGGAGACTGAGGAGGCGGGTGAAGAAGCCGAGGAGGAGGAGGAGGAGGCAGGCGAGGCAGATGATGGAGGCTATATCTGGTAGAAGCCCAGTGAGGGAGGCCTGGGGGGAGGGGGATGCTGGGGTACTGACAGCTGGGAGGGGACAAAAAAGCAGTGAACTGGGCAGAAACAGGGCAGCTTAGTGAGTTGATCAGGAAAACACAGTCGAATGTAACTTGATTCCAGTGGGGAAGAATGAACGCATGTGAGCGTGTGATATATTTGTGGAGTGTGTGACAGGTGTGTGTGTGTGTGTGTGATGGGTGTGACAAGTGAGCATGTGCATGACCTGCAGCTGTGGGCAGTGTCATTGAATGATGCCCCTCCTGGCAAACCAAACCACCAAAAGTCACCTCCAGCCTTCACTCATTTTTTTTTTAAATACTACATTAAAAATTGATGAGATGTGATACTCTTTCCCTCTCTACACCCTGATACGCCTTCCTAAGCTAGAATTTGACTCACCCATTCACCCCAAATGCCCTGTGATTGCTGTCCATCCTATCTGTCCCTGTCCTCTCTGGCTTTTTATACTAGGCCCAACTCCTCCATATCCTGGGGTCAAGCAGCCACTTGCCCGAGGTTCTGGCCTTAGCTCCAAAGGCGAATGTCCTGTGGTCCACCAAGGTGGAGAGTGCAAATTGTTCTCAGGGTGTGCACCCTTCCCAAAGACCAGGGGCCATGACTCTTGAGCTCTTTTGGCAGTGAGACTGTCAACCATTGTCACTAGCCTCAGAAAGGAGGAGAAAGCCATCCTCTGGAAGTGAGCCCTTCTAATGGCTGGGTTCTTGCAAGGCCAGAGAGTTTCTTTCAGCCTGGGTTGTGGGAGAGATGGTGGGGAGATGGATGGGGGAAGGGGCAGAAGCTCCCACAGCTACTGGAAGAAGTTTAGGGTTGGTGATGAAGAGGAGGCCTTGCCCACCCAACAGCTCCTACAAAGCTGTGCTAAAGGTATCATTGGGTGGGCTCAGGTCCCCGTGGATGGCTGCCCAACGTCCACCTCCTTGTCCCTAGGATTGGGAGCACCTCCACAGAGTTGAAAGACTGGATACCTTTGGGGTGAGGATTGGAACAGTTCTGACTTGTAGAACATCGGTGTAGGGCCTTCTTGGGCGGAGCATGGCCTAGCCTCTTCCTATAGCAGTGATTTTCCCCAAACCCCAGGTGGGATTTAAAGCCAGGACTGCTTTCTTTGGGGAGCAGTTCCATCCACCTTCCCCTTTCAGTTTCTGCCCAAGAGCTGGGCTGTGGTGACTTGTTGCCCCCATAAATTGGTATTGAGGATGTTAGGTCTTGCTAGGGATAGAAATTAAAATACCTGGAGCACTTCTGTATTTCTTTCCTGGCCCCTTTATCAGAATTTCCCCTTCTTTTCCTGAACCAATGGAAACAGGCAATCTCATACAAGTTTTTGAAACAAATTTTGAAGCTGGCCAGATGACTCTGGAGGTGGGTGGTAGGTGAAAGGGAGGCATTCTACTTTGCTGCCTTCTCTGGGCCTCCGTCCTCCCTCCCCTACCCACCCATTCATTCAGCAAGCCCTTATTAAGTACCTACTATGTACTCTAGGCACTGGGCATATGAAGATGAAAAAAGACAGGATTTTACATTCAATTGGGGAAGGAGGGAAATAACATGCACCTCTGTATTCCAAATATAGACGGGAAAAAAGAATTTAATTTTAGGGTCGGATACCATTAGCACCTAGGGGAGCAAGGAGAGGCCTGCTATAGGAGCTGGTGCCTGGACTGAAAGGAAGCTAAGGACTCTGGGGATGGAGGTGGAGGAAGGCCCGGGAGGGAAGGCAGCTTGGGAGCTCTTGTCGGAGGTAGTGGCTATGATGAGGCTGGTTCTGTACTGCTGGGCCTGATCCCTGGGCCGCCTGTCCTCTGCTGCCCTGGCCTTCTCCTCTGACGGGAGCACCAAAGGGCCGGGTTCTTCCCATTCACTGCTTCTGGTGCAGGGGCATTTGGATAGGTAACAGCCACCCTGGGCAGATTAGAGGGCTGGGGGGAGAAGGAGAAAGGGAGAGTCAGGGTCCTGGGGTGACAGTAACAACCACGTGCTTTGGCCCGGGAAAGGTCTGGTTTGTCAGGCTCCTCCTAGGACAAGTTACAGACCAGGCTGGCAGGGGACCACTAGTTTTTTCCTTCTGTTTTTCTCATTGTTAGGTTCCCCTGTAATTGAAGGAATTTTTCTATTGATGAGAAAAGTCTCCCTGCTCATGTTCTCACCATCCTGACACCCAGTGCTCACAGATGCCTGTGCACGTGTGAATATGTGTGTGTTTCTAAGGGCAGTCAGTGGCTTGTGTGAGTGTGTGGGTGGTGGAAGCCTGAGTGAGTGAGTGTGTGTGTGTGTGTGTGTGTGTGTGTGTGTGTGTGTG